ATGGGGGGCTTCCCTGGTGGCACAGTGGTTGAGAATCTGCCTGCTAATGCAGGGGACAGAGGTTCGAGCCCTGGTCTGGGAAGATCCCACATGCCGCGGAGCAATTAGGCCCGTGAGCCACAACTACTGAGCCTGCGCGTCTGGAGCCTGTGCTCCGCAACAAGAGAGGCCGCGACAGTGAGAGGCCCGCACACCGCGATGAAGAGTGGCCCCCGCTTGCCACAACTAGAGAAAGCCCTCGCACAGAAACAAAGACCCAACACAGCAAAAATAAATAAATTAATAAACTCCTACCCCAAACATCTTCTTAAAAAAAAAAAAAAGTCTCCAAGCCAAAATTTATAAAAAAGAGAATGGGAAGAGAAGAATCAGAGAAAGTGAAGACATTCTTGTGAGGAGTTTGCTCTCATGGGGAACAGGGGAACAGAGTGGTAACTGGGGGGCAAAGTGTGGGTCAAGACAGATTCTTTTCAAGAGAAATTTCAGCATGAAATAAACCAGCAGAGGGGAAAAATTGATGATCTAAGGTAAAGAGGAAAAAATTGCTGGCACAATCATCCTGAGTAGACCAAAGAGGGTGACATCCACCGTGCAGGTGGAGGGGTTGGCCCAGTTAGACAACTTGAGTAGGAACCTCTAGGAACCAGACGGAAAGCTGAGTATGTGCAAGAAGAAGGTAGGTAGATGCAGTGTTGGGATTTTGAGGAGGTACTGACTGCCTCCATTTTCTTAGTGAAGTGGGAGACAAAGTTAAGCAGCTGAGAGACAGGATGGGGGGGAAGGTGTTAGAGCTTTGAAGAGAAAGAATAAGGTGTGAAATGGTCTTCCAGGAGAGTGGGAGGGAGGATGAGTAGCTGGAGACAGGAGCTGCACGTAGTTCATATGAAAGAAACACCAATCTTCTTAACAGAAGGTAACACAGTCCCTGTGTCAGCGGAACACGTGCTCTCAGAGGTATTTTTTAGGATTGCAGGTACTTTGTAGAAGTGGTGAGAAGTTCACCTGAGCCACCTACAACCTATTTAGTTTCCCACGTGACAATGTACTGTGGGAAATGGCCACCAAAAAGCTTTTCTCTCTTTGCAAAAGTAATTACCCCAAGCTGAGAGCCTTTGCCTCTTTTCACTGTCTTATCTCTTAATCAATTGGATACTGCAAGAGCCTCCTAGCTGGGCTCTTTGCTGGGCAGCTCTCAACCTGCCCCATTTCACCCATCCTCCATGATGCACCCAGACTACAAACACAAGTCTAATCATGACAATCCCTTGCTTAGAACCCACCAAGGACACTCACAGCCCAATTCAAACTTATGGGACTTCCCTGGTGGTGCAGTGGTTAGGGGACATGGGTTCGATCCCTGGTCCGGGAAGATCCCACGTGCCGCGGAGCAACTAAGCCTGTGCACCACAACTACTGAGCCTGCACTCTAGAGCCCGCGAGCCACAACTACTGAAGCCCGTGCACCTAGAGCCCGTGCTCCACAACAAGAAAAGCCACTGCAATGAGAAGCACGTGCACCGCAACGAAGAGTAGCTCCTGCTCGCCACAACTAGAGGAAGCCCGCACGCAGCAACGAAGACCCAATGCAGCCAAAAATAAATACAAAATAAAGTAAATAAATTTTAAAAAATATTCAAACTTATTTCAGCAAATACATGGGCTTCTAGATCTGGTTTCTGCCCATTCTCTACCTTTATCTTCCAACAATTCACTATCGTGAACTCCAGATACACTAAACACAGCTTCTCAAAACTGACCAAGCCCACACCAGTCTTTGTGCCTCTGTCTAGAAGACCCTTGGCCCCTCCCTGCCTAGTGAGCGTTACTTATCTCTAACATTAAAGACAAGCATCGTTTTGTCTAGGGAGCCTCCTTTCCTAGCTGTCCTTTCCCTTCCATCAGAGTTAGGGCCTGTACTCTGTGTCTCCCGAAGACTCAGTGCATCCCTGGGTCAGCAGAGCCACTGCCAGAACAGTGCAGCAATGAAGCACCTGGGCTTTCGAATCAGACAGCCTAGGGGGAATTCGGGTTTTGCCACTTACTAACCAGATAACCTTGGATGAATTACTTAAATTTTCTAAGCTTTAGTATCCTTGTCTGTAAAATGGAGTTAATAATAAAAGCACCCATCAGAAAGGGCCATCTGCAGGATTATACATGCTAATGTAACTTAGCAGAAAGCCTGGCATAAAACACGTCCTCAACAATCTTCCTACAATCTAAGACTCTCCTAATCTTCTGCTGGTCTCCAATAGTGAGTATCTTAGCTCAATGGATATTGCTACTCAAGGGAGAGCAATCATGCCATGGTGGGCTCCCCTGTCATCTTTAGCTCTTCCCTAATGATATGATGCCTAAGAGGAAACAGGGAAAGTGGGCTGAGCACCGTGTAATCAGGCCCCGTTAAAGTCTTGAGACATGGATCCATTCCTCTCCTACCAAGTGATAAGAATGATGCTCTAGGGCTTCCCTGGTGGCGCAGTGTTTGAGAGTCTGCCTGCTGATGCAGGGGACACGGGTTCGTGCCCCGGTCCGGGAGGATCCCACATGCCGCGGAGCGGCTGGGCCCGTGAGCCATGGCTGCTGAGCCTGCGTGTCCGGAGCCTGTGCTCCACAACGGGAGAGGCCACAACAGTGAGAGGCCTGCGTACCGCAAAAAAAAAAAAAAGAATGATGCTCTAAGGTCTCTATTAACCCTAAAGGCTCTAAACCCATGCTGGCATAATGGCTCATGATGAGCAAGATGAAATGAACAGGCATAAGTATTAAAATGTAAATTTAGGTTCAAAAAGTCAATTCATTCGAAATAGGACAGATACATTGTAAAAGCAAACTCAATCCAAATCAGAGTTGTTTGGCACTTGGTGGAAAGGTTAATACACTCAGGCCATCCAACTAGAAGTCTAGGGTCCAGAGCTCAGAGGTGACAGTCCTGCTGTACCAGGCACTGGCCAGACCACATCTGGCATGTCGTGTTCAAGTCAGGGCAGCACATGTTAAAAGGCACACCAACAAACAGCACATCCAAAGGGGGAAATAAATGGCCCCACGGAAAACTGCACAGGGAACAGGTGGAGGTACCAGGTACATTTAGCTTAATGAACAGAAAACTCAGAGAGGACACCATAGGTGACTTCAAATATCTAAAGAGCTGCCATGTACAGGGGTCTGAGGCTTCTCAGGGTAGCTCTTGAGGGGATACCCAGGGCAAGTGGGGAGGAGTTACAAAGAATCAGATCTTGGTCTTAGGTTAGAGTTAGGTCAAACATAACTTCCCTTCTGAAGGAAGCTGCCTTACGCCCAGCACCTGCTGAGGGATCAGCCTTGCACAGATAATGGTAGCCTACTCCATTCTGACTGCATCAGAAAGGGACATCTGATCAAGAGAGCTCTGGGCCCGTGTTGGGCAGTGGCCTACAACGTGTTTTGGCCCGTAAAGATGAGCTGGTACAACCCAGTTGTTTCTCTTGGCAATCTGGTCTAAGAAATCCCTGAAGTATGGCGGTGAACAGAGGGAGCGGAAGATGAAAGGATGCCACGAGGAGAGAGGACAAGCCGCAAGGGGTTCAAGCCAACCGAAGTGATAAGGAAGCAGAAACAGTGAATACGCAGATGCTCTCAGCAAGAGTAAAAGTACAGAGTGGAAAGAGGAAAAATGCAGACCGGAGCAAAGAGAAACAGAGATGTCATGAGAGGAAGAGACAGAGAGACTGAGCCCAAGAGAGAGACAGAGAGAAGTCAGTCCTACAAGCTCCCTCAGTTCCTGTAACTTTTCCCTTCCCTGCCTGGCCAGGTGTACTCTCATAAACAAACTCTCCTTCCTTCTTGAGGTAAATTAGTGGATCTCTAGTCCTTGTAACCAAAAAAAGCCTAACTAGAACATCAATTCTTAAAACTATTGAAGTTTCCTGTGACGGAGAGGGCTGACCCTCAGAGCAGCGCACTCTCCACGCTGCGTGACCACACAGCAGGGAAGATATGAGAGGATGTCTTCTCTGGGTGGGAGGCTGGACCAAAGACCTCTACAGGTCTTGCCATTTGCTGGCCTGTGATTTACGACATTAGTCATCATCCTTCTATGCTTTTTCTTTTTTTAAATAGCACTTTCACAATTTAGCCCATCTGTCGTCATAACCTCCTCCACAACACAGATAGGGTGAGTGCTAATGAGTTAGAACAGAGGTAGTGGAGTAGAGAGAGGTGAATGTTCCATTTACAATGAGGAAACCAAGGCTCCGAAAAGTTAGATGACTAGGCCAAGGCCATTCAGGTGGTAAGAGACAGAATCAGGATCTCCAAACTTTCAGCTAAGTGTTCTTTCTAGAATTCTATGTAACTCTCTCCTTCATTCACATTTTGCCATATATCTCCCCGATCCGAGACATGTCAGTATAGACCACTGTGCAGGGAAATCTAAGAGACCCCCCCACCAGCTTCCCCATGAGCCCCAGTTCTCTCCTTACCAAGGTGCTTCTGCAGGAAGGCCAACATGGCCCGCACCACAGTCTCCTGACCTTTATAGGGGTCCAAGCTCCCATGGGTTTGAGTGGAGAAGAATTTAGCAATCCAGTTACCAGCCATAAAAGCAAAGTCAGTTTGACTCCAATGAACAGAACCACTAAAAGAAAAGAAAAACAAGTATCTGGTAGGGCTCTGGAGGCTAGGGCACATAAATATTTAAGCACCTACAATGTGCAAGGTGCTTTACATGCATTATCTCACTTAATTTTCACAACAGTCTTGCAAGGGGAGTATTTTCCTCTTTGACAGACCAGAGGAGAGAAATGATCTGCCCAAGTTCACACAGCTAGTAAGGGATGGAGCTAGGATTTGAAAGGAGGTATACCTGGCTTCAAAGCTCCTTCAACTCCTAGACCATAAGGCCGGACTATGCAGGGAAAAGGCGGAGTCAGCTGGAGAGCGGATGGGGCATTGAGGCGAAGTCTGCAGCACCTGCCCTTCCCACGTTATTATAAACTATCACAGACCTGCCATTCCCACGTTATTATAAATTATCACCCCATGGTTTTTACCCAGTGACTTCTGAACATTCACAAAACTTATCAGCTCCATCTTTAGCTCAGAACTGTACACAAAGTAAACAGGAAAAAGAAATAACTTGCCTTTAAATAATCAGAAAAGTTAGGGCAAGTGCTTGTAAAAGAGTGTTTCTGGATCAGAATTTAAGTCCTTTGACATCAAATGCACTTAATTTGAAGGTGAAATTCTCACTAGGTTCATTTCTAGCTAAATTACTCATAACTAAATTTACTAGTCAATTCAATGAGGGAAGGAAGATTTAAATGTTAAACTCTATTTGATATCATGCAGAAAAACTGACTTTAAAAGGGATTATCTAAGGCACATACGAAAGTATAAAGAAAAATATAATGGATACTTGAGTATCCAGCACTCAGTTTAAGAAATAATATTGTCATGAGTTAAATCCAGGGACTTCCTTAGTGGCGCAGTGGTTAAGAATCCGCCTGCCAATGCAGGGGACATGGGTTCGATCCCTGGTCCAGGAAGATCCCACATGTCGCAGAGCAACTAAGCCTGTGCGCCACAACTACTGAGCCTGTGCTCTAGAGCCTGTGAGCCATAACTACTGAGCCCACGTGCCACAACTACTGAAGTCCGCATGCCTAGAGCCTGTGCTCTACAACAAGAGAAGCCACCGCAATGTGAAGCACGTGCACTGCAACGAAGAATAGTCCCCACTCTCCACAACTAGAGAAAGCCTGTGTGCAGCAACAAAGACCCAATGCAGCCAAAAATAAATAAATAAAACAAATTTATTAAAATAAAAAAAAAGAGCTAAATCCGCAGTTTTTGTGTACCCCTTCCCAAATGCTCTCCCTCCCCTCCAGAGGTCACAGTTATCCTGGATCTGAATGGCTTAGGGAAACTGTCAAGCAGTTCTCTGCTGCCATGAAATCAAAATGAAAGGAGAGGGGGCTGGCCCCAAGGAAGACAGCCTGGGCCAAGATGGGCAAGGGAAGAAGCCATGGCCTACTGAGAAGACCCCTAGCAGTCCGGGCTTTGGATCTGGCATTTCAAACACCTGAATGAGTCCATAGGTCCATGACATGTAGTTACTTGTCATTTCGCTGAAATAGGACCTGGGATCCTTGAATCATGTGGGCTATTTGGCTCAGGTACAGGGCAGGACCAAGTCAGAGACTTGTCAGTGAGACTTTAGTCCTGCACCTGTAGCTCTAAGCCACTTCCTATGTAAAGTTCATTTCTTTTTTAAAATAAATTTATTTATTTTATTTTATTTATTTTATTTTTGGCTGCATTGGGTCTTCGTTGCTGCATGTGGGCTTTTCTCTGGTTGTGGCGAACAGGGGCTACTCTTTGTTGCAGTGTGCAGGCTTCTCATTGCAGTGGCTTCTCTTGTTGCAGAGCATGGGCTCTAGGCGTGTGGGCTTCAGTAGTTGTGGCACACAGGCTCAGTAGTTGTGGCCCACAGGCTCTAGGTGCAGGCTCAGTAGGTGTGGTGCACGGGCTTAGTCGCTCCGCGGCATGTGGGATCTTCCTGGACCAGGGCTAGAACCCGTGTCCCCTGCATTGGCAGGCGGATTCTTAACCACTGCGCCACCAGGGAAGCCCTAAAGTTCATTTCTTAAAGTCACTCAAAATATTCTCTCTGTGAAAAATGACTCCTAAAATCAAACCATCTGACAGTGTTGATGATGGAAGTGAAGAGAATGTGTTTTCTCTCAAGCAGAGAATAGATGGTTCATGGAAGATACCTGAATTTAGGTATTCATGAAGGTCTCTAAAAATCCATCTTGTGAGTGTCAAAGGTCTACTATATCCATACTCTTCAAAAGACTCAGTAAAATTCCCATATGAGATTAGAGATTCCTGGAGTCCACCCAGACCCACACCTCTTCCCCTCTAACACATAATCCCATAATACCCTGTCATAAAGTCATATAAACTAGTGAATAAATCACTGTAGGTGGAGCTAAGTGGAAAAGAAGAACAGATATGAAATTCCAAAGGAATTAAGATTTTGAAATTCAGGAGGTATTTATGTATCCTATCAACGGGTAGAACTTCTGGATAATTTAGAGGAAATTACAGGAGCCACAGCTGAGTAGAAAATGGAGAGGCCACTGGGGATCATGACCTTGGAGTTTACTCACAGGACAGTTATGATCCTGGATTGGTCATGCTGGGCACAAAGCTTCTTCATCAAGTTGACACTCTCCATTGTCTGGAATTTCTCAGCATTGATGAAAAATATCGGGCCTCGGGCCGTGGGGTAAAAGTCGTGTTCCAGAGGAAACATCCAAGCATCCAGAGCCACAGCACACCTGGAACAGGACCAGACATGTGGAACTGCCATGTAGAAACTCAAGCAAGAACAATTAGGGTAGTTCTCCCTTCAGTGGGGTAAAAAGCTCAGAAAGCCAGGAAGGGGAACCAGGGCCCATACCCTTCAGTTAGGATCTTGGATAGAGATCACTTTTACCTGTCGCCAAAAATCCTTCTTGATTTTTAAACTCTCTGAAAACAAGGATCAGACCTCCTCCTTCTCTTGGATCTACTCTCAGGCAGCTGACTTGAGTCACACAGAATGGCACTTCATTCATTTACTCATTCATTCATTCACCTCATCAAGTACCTACTATGTGCTTAGCCTTGTGCTGTGGATCTAGAGATAAATGACACAGTTGTTGCTCTCCTGGAGCTCCCAGAATAGCAGTGGAGATAGGTAGCAAAATACAATTTAGTGTCCTGATTGCACAAGCTGCAAAGTAAGCCCAGAGCATACGTGGCAGGAACGTCAGGGAAAGCCTCCTTGGTGCCACAACTCAAAGTCATGGCCAGTTTGTCCAGCAGAAATCTCTGCCACCAAGGGCAAAACTAAGGCCCTAAGATTAGCGTCCTACTATCCCCCACCCCCAATGCTCCTCCAGTCTCCTCCATCTCAATAAAGGACAATCATCTTCCACTCAAATGATGGACACACAGATGAAAAACCTTGATTCTTCTCTTTCCTTTACCTCAAACATCACTAAGTCCTGAAAATTCTAAAACCTATCCTGACTCCCTTCACTCCTCTCCATCCCACTACCTCCATCCTAAAGCAAATCCCTCATCTCTCACCTTGACTCTGAAATAGCCTCCTTCTACTTAGCCTCCTTGGGGTTTTTTTGGGTTTTTTTTGCGGTACGCGGGCCTCTCACTGTTGTGGCCTCTCCTGCTGCGGAGCACAGGCTCCCGACGCGCAGGCTCAGCGGCCACGGCTCACGGGCCCAGCCGCTCCACAGCATCTGGGATCCTCCCGGACCGGGGCACGAACCCGTGTCCCCTGCATCAGCAGGCGGACTCTCAACCACTGCGCCACCAGGGAAGCCCCCTCCTTGTTTCCAGTCTTATCGTGCTACAACCCCCTCTTCACATAGTGGTTTTTAAATGTAAATAAGATTTTTCTATACTTAAAATCTTTCAATGGTTTCCTGTCATACTTAGAATAAAATCTAACTTCCTTACTCTGGCCAAAAGGCCCCATGACCAGGCCCTTGTTTATCTCCCTGATCACACCTTGAATCACTTCCCCCTCGCTCACTATGGTCCTCCCACACTGAAACAGCAAGCTTCTTTCCACCTCAGGGCCTTTAGCTGTTCCCTCTGCCTAGAATGATCTTCTCCTAGACCTTTATGTGGTTGGCTTCTTTGCCTTTGAGTCTAGCTTACGTCACTTTCTCCAGGAAGCATCCACATATTCCAGCTTATTAGCCTATTTTACTTTCTTCGTTGTACTTGGGTGCCAGGGATTTGATTACTTGCTTACTAGTCTCCTCCCACAGCAACATAATTCCATGAAATCAGAGACCTTGCTTTCTTCTTCACCACTGAATCCCCACCTCCCAAAACAGTACCTAGCACAAAATACATGCTGAATGAATATATGGTGTGTGGAGCTAACAGCAGCATCACTGGGAAACTCACCGAAATCGGGTCTCCTTGGCCAAAGCCAGAATAGCTGTGGCCCCTCCAAATGAATGCCCCATTACAGCCACGCGGCTCACATCAATGCTGCCCTGAGAAAGGTCAGAAACACAGGGGTGCATTTTTAGGAACTCTTCAAGGGCAAGAGGAAGAAACAGTGAGACAATGATGCAGAAACACAATACAGTGGGCGAGACCTCCAAAACCACGGTATTAAGCGCCTCTTGCCCACTGGAGAGCAACAGGTCAGGCCATCCCTGGACTGAACAGCCTTCTGTAGGCAGGAATTCTGAAAACCACATTTTTCATCTTTATTTTAATAATCTTGCCGCCTATAATGTCTGGACGAGGTAGACATTCAAATATCTATGAATAAACAGAAATTAAATGACCTATCAGTATAAGAGCACGTTAAGAATAAGAACTCTCAGGAATTCCCTGGCGGTTCAGTGATCAGGACTCAGCACTTTCACTGTGGTGGACAGGGTTTGATTCCTGGTCAGGAAACTAAAATCCCGCAAGCCGCATGGTGCAGCCAAAAAAAAAAAAAAAAAAGACTAAGAACTCACTTTATTTAGATCCTTGCCTTATAACCAATCCAACCAGACGGATGGATGACACGTGCTCCAAGTCAAGGACAGAATGGGGGCGCTCCTACTGCCCCTCCACTTTGCTCTGAAGCAAGGAATGCTTGTACCAAAACCAACTCAGGTTCTACTTGCTCTGACATCTGTCCTGACTTTTATCTAGCAAAGTGAGCCTGCTCGCTCTAACGTGCTCTGCAAGCATCTATTTCTGGTTGTCCCCAGAAGCCTTCAGGACATGGTTATATAAAAAACCACTGCAGCTGCCTCCTAAGGGGCTCAAAAAATCTCTCCAGGATTTGCTGTCCAGCCTCTGCCCTGAACCCATGCTCTCCTTTGCTCTTCCCAACTTCTATCCCAAGTTTTTGTATCTAAATCCTCCCCTCTTTGCTCAGTACCTTTGGATTGGTCAAGGCCTCTTCAGCTTTTTTAATAAGTAAATATATCTACATAACTCTAAAATCAGGAGTATATAGAGAAGTCTCCTACCTACCCTATTCCCTGTCCACACAGTTGCCCACTCCCTACCCAGACAGGTAAGTTGCTTGTGTCTTTGCAGAGCTTACTTATGCCTACACAGGTAAACATGAATATATACTTTCTCCCTTTTTACACAAGTGATATTGTAACTTACTTTTTTTACATAATAATATTAGTACATAAAGAGCTTCCTTATTCTTTTTTACAGCTACATTTGATTTCACCATGGTACCGACAGCTAGTGATCACCAAAACGGTTCTTCTTCCTGGACACACAGCTAGACTCTATTTCCCAGCAGTTAGATGTGGCCTTGTGACTTGATGTGAGTGACAGTGGTCTTGTGATAGAATATGAAAGTGATTATCTCCATTTACAGGCATGGTCTATAAAAACTCTTCCATACAAACCTCCATGCCCTTTCCCACACCTGGCTTAACGTACACGGTAAAGTTGGGTTTCACAGGTGGAAGAGGGTAGAGCGATTAGAAGAAGGGGGCCTGGATCCCTGAGTCAGCCCTTGCACAGAAGCACCCATTTTGGACTTCATGTGGGAGAGAAATAAATTTCTCTTTGTTAAGCCACTGAGATTTGGGGCTTACGTGTTATAGCAATTAGTATTATCCAAAATAATACATCCATTGTTCCATAATCTATTAAACCAGCTGTGGTCACTTATGGGTGAACATTTAGGATACTATCAATCTTTTGTTATTACAAACAACAACACTGGGATGAATAACCTTGTACATACATCATGTTACATGTGTGTAGGGATGTGTAAAATAAATTCCCGGAATTGGACATTGCTGGGTCAAACACTATGTGCACCCGTGCCGTTGCGAGCTATTGCCAAACTGCCCTGCGTGGGGCCATGTGCACTCACACTGGCAACGGCGCAGAGGCTATTTCCCCACAGCTGTGCCGACAGGGTGAGTAGTCAATTTTTGGATCTTGCTCAATCTGATAGATGAAAATTCACTTAGCCTTTTTCATTCTGTATTTCTCCAAAAGGCTGCCTCTTAACTAATCCAACTACACATAGCCCGCCATCCCCCGATGTCTGTCTCAGGCCCACAGGCCCACAGGCCTGAACTGTGGTGCCTGGCCCCGCTTATCCGGTGGGGACTGATGACATACACCATATAGCAGGCAAAGCTCTCTAGATTTCAGGTCCTGCCTTACCTCTTGGCCATTCAGGCTGATGTTTCTTCCTGGAAGACTTTTCCAGAGCCTTTAAAAGATATTTTCTAAAGAGGCTTTGGGGCACACTGCATAGGCAAAAAGCCCCAAATTAAAGTTTGACTCTACCACTTGCTTAGCTGTGTAATCTTGGGCAGATACTTAGCCTCTTAGATCCTTGGTTTCTTTCTATGTAAAGAGATAACAATCTATATGTTTGTGAAAAGAGCTCTTATCATAGGAAGTCCTCATAAAGGAGTAATTATTATATATTTATATATATATATGTATATACCATTCTCACTCATACAATGGAATATTATATGGCTATTAAAAATCATGCCATAGGGGCTTCCCTGGTGGCACAGTGGTTGAGAATCTGCCTGCTAATGCAGGGGACACGGGTTTGAGCTCTGGTCTGGGAGGATCCCACATGCCGCAGAGCAACTAGGCCCATGAGCCACAACTACTGAGCCTGTGCGTCTGGAGCCTGTGCTCCACAACAAGAGAGGCCACAATAGTGAGAGGCCCGTGCACCGCGATGAAGAGTGGCCCCTGCTTGCCACAACTAGAGAAAGCCCTCGCACAGAAACAAAGACCCAACACAGCAAAAATAAATTAATTAATTAATAAACTCCTAAAAAAAAAATCATGCCATAGAAAAATATTAACTGGAATAAGAAGACATTCATACTGTGACATTCATACTGTTTTGCTAAATGAAGAATAAGGCCACAAAACAGCTTGTATTAAATAGTAACATTATTGGTTTTTTGTTTTTTGGGGTTTTCTTTGCGGTATGCGGGCCTCTCACTGTTGTGGCTTCTCCTGTTGCGGAGCACAGGCTCCGGATGCGCAGGCTCAGCGGCCATGGCTCACGGGCCCAGCCGCTCTGCGGCATGTGGGATCTTCCCGGACCGGGGCACGAACCCGTGTCCCCTGCATCGGCAGGCGGACTCTCAACTACTGTGCCACCAGGGAAGCCCAACATTATTATTTTTAAAGAAATGCATCTTAAAAGAACTGGAAGGACAAACATCAAAACATCCAAAAATTCCGTTTCTTTTTCCTTCATGCTTTTGTGTGATTTCTTGGTCCTCTAAATAAAGCCTGAGCTACTTTTGAAATTACGGAGGAAAGGACTGGATAGGGGAGGAAAATGTGCCTTCATAGGCACCAAATTCCATGGAGCGGGACAGTTTCTCTCCTCCTGGGGGGTTCTTGGGATTCCTTTAAAGGCAGGAATGAGCCTGCAGTAGACAACAGATGTTGTATGGGGCTCCATAGCTCTGCCTTTGCGGAACAAACCATCACTCCCTCACCCATGCGGCTTCATGGGGCTGTCAGTCCTGGTGCTCAGGCACAGTGACTGGCCCGGAAGGGGCATGTGACCCAAGCAGGCCATGGCCTTTCCAGATTGCTGAAAGCTACCAGAGTTTCTTTTCCTTTTAGGTTTGGAGCTGAGTTGAGATGCAGGCTTGGAATATGCCAGCAACCACCTTTCTTGCCTAATGGAGAGAGTCTGGTGAGAATGAAGCCCATATACACAGAGTGGAGTTGAGCCAGGAGAAGGGAGAGAGTGCCAGAGCTTTGATGACAATGTTTGAGACCCTGGATCAGCCTGAAATGGACTGCTGGTTGGACTCATACAATGGCCTGAAGCCAATCTGGTTTTGGTCTTCCTACTTAGTTGGGCCAATAAATTCTCTTTTGGTTTAAGCTAGTGAGTTAGGCTTCTGTTATTTGCAAGCAAGAAAGTCTTGATGAATAAAATGTGCTCCAGGTCATACCAACTGCTGCCATACCTTCAAGGTCATCAGATCCAACCCGCCAGGCACGATGTTGAGGACAGTCTGCCCAGCAGCGGCCTCTTGCAGGACAGTTAACACCCTCAGGCACTCGCTTACCCTCTGATGCACCTGCAATAGACAGTGCCAGTGGGAGCTGGAATACTGCACAACCATCCAGCGGGGATCTTGCTCCCCTACAGAGCCGAGGAAGAACGCAGAGATGACGTGCCCACGCACATCTCATCCAGCACTGTGGTCCCCACACCCTGAGAAAGGCTTAGCTCCCTCACAGCCACACACATAAGCACCACCTAAGAGCACAACGAAGTCAGCCCTGCTGTTCAGACTCTCCCTACCTACCCATGGTACACAGGGCTATAATATGGGTATACAGTGTGCCATATGAAAGCACTTTGACAACAAAAGGACAAAAAAGTGTTCCTATCATCAACCCAGCACTGGATTCAACTTGCCCACTTATAGCACACGTCTATTGTTTTTGTCTGCCTAGCACTCACCTGCCCTTACTTCTCCTGTTAACCCTGACTTTTGAGGACTGCCCCTCCCCCCAAAAAATTTAGCAATGTATTTCGGATGGGAGCTTCGTATTTTGGTACTCCTCCCCAGCCTCGGAGTCTCTATCCAGGATTTTTCATCTTGCACCTTGGGGTAGAAGTTGGGGACAACCCCAAAACAGCCCTATTCTCTCAGATGGTGAGGGCAAACACGTGCAACCTCATAAGGTAAGCCAGTTAGCAGATGAGACCAACCAGCAGAGGGACAGAGATAAGAGTGAAAAACAAGTCCCAATGGCATTTGGGACTAGCAGTCTTGCCCTTCCCTTGTCTGCTTATATAAGCCAACCAATTCTCCTTTTTGCCTAACAAGCTTAAGTTGGGTTTCTGTCACTTGCAATTGTTAAGAGTCTTGATTAATACCTCATTTCTCTGATGTGACAAGCTCAGAACCACTATGACCAAGATTTCAAGAGAGGTTAGTTCAAAGTCTTCTTAGTGAGTGTTTTATAGGGAGGACAGGCTTAGTTACTCTCCCTCCCCACTGGCATAAGCCTACCTGGCAATTCCGAACATGGAATTCCTTCTCCCCTTCCTCAGTTTGACGGTGGGGTATCCATTCCTCCTCCAGTGACTTGCTGTTGGGCTGGTTCGCCTCTGGGGACTGCTTGCAGAAACAGGTTGCTGCAGCTGACCCATCCCTGCAATACATGTGCCACCAGAAACCAGAAGACACTTGGACTCATTTCTCCCCTTTACCAAATCCTCCTTTTCAGCCAAGACATTCTAGATTATCCTTTAGCTAATAGGGAAAAAGATCAGGGGCACACATAGGAGAGTAGAAAAAAAATGTGGATTTTGGAGACTGACCTGGGTTTGAACCCCAATTCAGCTATGTCACTTTCAGCAAGTTATTCAACATCTTTGAACCTTGGTTTCCTCACCTTTAAAATGAATATAACCCCTACCTTGCATAGTGTTGTGAGGACTAGAAATAATATATCTATAGGGAACTAGCCTATACCCTAGCCCACTGCAGGCACCCAACCCATGATGGTTCATTGTGACTGTCATCCCTCACCTGTGCTCTGGTACAGCAACCACAAAGCCATGGGAGGCCAGCTCCATGCAGAAGGCTGAATACAGTGTCCTAAAGATCCAGGAAGGAACCGAGAGAAGTGATCAAAAGAATGGCCTACCCTTAGCCCCTAGTCCAACCATGCTCTGCTAGTAGCCATCTCAAAAGATGGAATGAGGAAGTTTCATTTGCAGCAGCCCTTGCCCAGGAGCTTTTTCCAGCCAGCATACCCCTGCTCTCACCAAGGCTCCAGTGTCCTCCTCCAGGGAGCATGTGCAAGTCACTCCACTGTGTTTTTCAACCCCATACACTGACGCATCTCCTCCACCCCCAACTCCAATAGTTTGGCTACTTCAAACAATTGCATTCTTATTGTCTATATATTGTATGTCTCCCAAATTAGTTGGTAAGCTCCTTGAGGACAGGGACTCTGGCTATTTCTTTAATATGCAAATATGCATCTGAGATTTAACATGTGGGTTTTTTTGGTCTGTCCTCCAACTTTCTAGAAAAATATATGACAGACATTGCTAATTGCCTACTCCAAACACCTATTTTTCCCTTCCTCCTTAATAACAGAATCTAATTTTCAGCTGAAGACACTGTCATGCAAAAAAATATGACATTTCTCAGCCTCTCTGCAGCCAGGTTTATCTTTGTGATTAAGTTCTAGCCCAGCAATAGAAATATAATGCTATCCTCCTAAGTAATTTAAAACTTTCTAGTAGATATATTTTAAAAAGTAAAAAGAAACAGGTAGAATTAATTTTAATAATATATATTATTTAACCCAATATAGCCAAAACATCATTTGACCATATAATCAAAAATTTTAAATTAATGAAATATTTTATTACATTCTCTTTTTTTTTTCATATGAAGTCTTTGAAATCCAATGTGTGTTTTATACTTATAGCACATCTCAGTTTGGACCAGCCATATTTCAAATGTTCAATATGCACATGTGGTTAGAAGCTACCGATAATGGACAGAGCAGCTCTAGTCAATGGGATGTAAGCAGTTGTGTTATATAGAACTTTCAGGAGAGTTCTCCCTTCCTATTGCATAGACTGCGGATGTAATGGTTAGATCTAAAGCAGCCTGGGTCATGAGATACCCTTAGAAATAGAAGCTACACGTCTAGTTTTCTGACAGCTTTGTAGAGCTATCATATCAGCTCTGTCGACCTCTAGCTTTCTTTTTATGTGAGCAAAAAATAAATTTTATGTTATTTAGGTCACTATTGTTGGGGTTTTTCTGTGAAATACAACTTACTCAGATCCTAATTGATGCGGAAAGTCAGTGTCTTAGGTTTCTTTCCACCTTCTCACTTCTCTCAGGGAGGCAAACAACTGGACTTGAGAGCCAGAGATTTCTGATCCCTTCCCAGTTTAAACTGTAACTTTGGACAAGTCTGCCTTTCAGAGCCTGTTTGCTCATCTGTAAAATATGCATCCCCCTCCCCAAGTACCTCACAGGACTGTGTGGGAACCAAAGGAGACAGAGGCACATTACAAATGTGTAGGTAATGTTTAAATATATATACTCCTCCTTGGGATGGGAAGCCAGAGGTCTGTGACTCATGGGAAGGATTTCAGGTCCTGAATTAACCACAGATGCAACAAGAGGAAACCATGTCCCTTTACCTCCCTGCCCCTTTTCTTGGAATTTCACTATGGTTAATGAAGAGTATTTATAACTGATTCACCCCAGTTTATTGAGATCTGAGGCCTCAATACAGACTCTTAGTCCAAAAAGACCACTCTAAAGTCATGTGTTCACACGCTCTCTCTAAAAAATACCTGTCAGCTTAGGAAATAATATTTCTTAGCTTCTTTTCCCCACTAGACTACAATCTGAAAGCAGCGTCTCTATTTTATTCACTACTACAAACCCAACCCCAGCATAGCACACAGCAGGTACTAAATTTACTGAATAAGAAATCAACATTGAAAACCATGTTGGACTTCCCTGGTGGTGCAGTGGTTAAGAATCTGCCTGCCAAGGCAGGGGTCATGGGTTCAAGCCCTGGTCTGGGAAGATCCCACATGCCGCGGAGCAACTAAGTCCGTGCGCCACAACTACTGAGCCTGCGCTCTAGAGCCTGCAAGCCACAACTGCTGAGCCCATGTGCCACAACTACTGAAGCCCATGCACCTAGAGCCCGTACTCCACAACAAGAGAAGCCACCACAATGAGAAGCCCGCTCGCCACAACTAGAGAAAGCCCGTGAGCAGCCATGAAGACCCAACGCAGCCAAAAATAAAAATTAATTAATTAAAAAAAGAAAACCATCTTGCTGCCTTTCTAGCCTCATCTCCACATCTGCTCTCCACTTCCTGCCATGTGCTACAGTTATGTGAATCCATATTCAGTCTCCTCTAGTGGATGCAAATTCCTTGATTTGTTTATCTCTATTATGTCCCACCTTCTTTTCATGCCAAGGAGCTGGCACAGAGCAGGTGCTCAACAGATACCTGCTGAATGTATGGAACCTAGCAAAACATAAATATTCACTGGGAAACTACTATTTTCCAGGTAATGCCCTAGGCACTGGGAAAGATAGAAGACAGACATGGTCTCTGCCTTTGTGGAGCTTACAATCTAGTTAAAAAGACAGACATTAAAGAATAATCACATAAGTAATTAATTCATTACAATTATGTTAAGTATCGTGCTTATGAAAGCACACCATGGGAAAACTTAACCTAATATAATATAGGGGTCAGGATGGGTGTCCCTACGAAAGTGACACCCAAACTAAGATCCTGAAGGTAATTTGGAATTAGCCAGGCAAAAGACGAAAAGGAGGAAGAGGAAGAGAGAAGGAGAACAGCAAGTATCCCAGGCAAAGGGAACAGCCACAAAGCATAGCACAAATGAAATCCCTGAGGCAGAAAGTAACATAGTGCCTTTAGGGCTGTTTGTCTGGAGAGCTGGAGTAGGGCAAGTAGCAAGCAACAAGGCTGGAAACTTTGTCCTGGACCTGCATTCAGGTAAGCCAATGACAAGAGCTGAATTAAGTTCAAAGGGCCATTAAAAAGATCTAGATAGGGAAGTGACATTCATTCATTCATTCATTCAACAAATATTTATTGCGCATCTACAATATGCCAGGCACTGTTCTAGGTGCTGGAATGACAAGATCATATTTGGTTTTAAAATAGATCTGCCTGGCTACAGTGTAGACAATGGTTTGGGTGGGGGTGGGAGGTGTGAAAAGGCAAAAACAGATGTCTTTGTGTAACACTCTGGGACATAAACTAGACTTATACGTTGATGAATGAACATACAGAGAGAATATTCACAAGCTTAAATAAGAACGCATGTACCACAGTTATTAAGCTATGTATATAACACACCAAGGTGTAAAAATCAGAATTCATGGGGAGAGTTCTGAATGGATACTGACTTGTAAAACTTGGATCAGTGTTTCCCGAAATCTGGTGAAAGAGATCTTACAGTTCATCACCCCACGATCCTCCACGTAGAGAGACAGAGAGGAAAACTGACAGGCGTGTGCACCTATTAGGTGCCTGTCTGGGTCCTCATAACCCACACTGTGGGAGCAGCATTCCATTTGACAGATGAGGAAATGTAGGCTCAGAGAGTTCTACCACAGTCCCGAGCTCACAGAGTGCAGTGGTACGGTTGAGATTTACAGCTGAGGCTGCAAGTTCCACGGGAGCAGGAACGAGTCTGTCTTCCTCGTCACTACGCCAGTGCCCCAGGCCGAGGTGCCCTCAGTGTAGGTTGAATAAATGACTCTCTGACCATAAAGCTCAAGCTCCTTCTAGTACTTCTAGGCTGTTATAGAGGAAGAAAGCTAAAAGCAAGTATTTATATAAATGCTGGCACATGAGAAGCCAAGGATATAAAAGGCTCCACCTGGTGAAAGGGGCCTGGGGGAAGGCCTTCTAGAGAAGGTGGACCCAGTGCCTTGGGATGAAGCACATGGTAGATAAGAAAACTGACAAATGGAAATATGCGTTTCCCTGCCCTTTGAGAATAAGCTAAGACTCAGCAGCTGCAACCAGGCAAGGAATATGACAAGGTCTGGGGCAGAGCAGCTCTTACCTGAAGGCTCCCAGGCCATGGGAGAAGATGATCAAGGGGTATCCAGAGTCCTTTGTCTTAAAGGGGCCATTCCAGCTAACAGGCAGGCGACAAGATCCTAGCAGAGACAAGGGCTATAGAATCTCTGGCTGAATGCGAAGGGCAGCCTGGGCACAGGTGTGATGAGGACATGTGGCCCTCCTTTCAGGAGAACCACCTTTTGCCCGAGCAGCCCAGGACAATCAATCACCTATTCTTTCCCCTTTTCTCCCCTAGGGAGCATAAACACAACAGAAAATGGGCAGATAAATCCAAAGGGGAGGTACTGAACAACTTACAGAGTAAGTCCCTGAGATGCCAAGGCAGTGGGTAGAGTTCCTAACAGTGGGGCCTTTGGGGAAAGGGGATGATTCAATGTCATCTGACCCAGAAGAGGGAGGAGCTAGAGAGGCAACTGCAGGAGACAGTATGCTCCTTGGCAGTTAAGAATGTTTCTTTGATCTACACTATAGCTGGCACAGAGTGGAATTAATACGTGCTGGATAAATGAGTAATAGCCACCACCCATGGAACACATTCTATATCCCAAGCACTGCACTAGAGTACATGTTTTACATATGTCCCACACTATAACCCTGCAAAAGTATCAGATATTCAGACACATTTTTAAGTAACTTGCCCAAGCCCCACAATAAATGATAAAGTCTGGATTCGAATCCAAGACAGTCTAACTCTATAACCAAAGCTCTTATGTACATAATTCTCTCCAACTCTCCATACCACAATGGCTAATGGATGCCCCACTACAAAAGGGCTGGGCAATGCAAACTGTAATGTACTGTGCCTGCCTTGGGATCTCCTAGGAACATAATCAAGCAGCTGGGAGAGAATCTTACCCACAACCAGGTTGAACAGCAAACCTCCCCAGCGCTTATTAAACTTCAGGTAATCAGCCAGGCCAGTGCAGTACTCATAGCGGGGAATCCACAGGGGCTGCTCTGTGGTATCTTCTGCCTCTTGGCAGGGGTAGAAGAGTCGAAAGAAGCTCCCCTGTAAGGAAGAAAAGAGAGCAGCTGCTCAGAGCAAGACGCCCAAGCACGGCTAGATTTCCCAACAGACACATTCAGCGGGTGTTTGGGGCACCAGCAAAGCACCAAAACAGGGAAACTTTACCTTCAATTCATATACCTGAATTTTGTATTCAGAAAATCCAGAAAGAAGCAACTTTATGTTTAGCATACATGTAAGGCTTATGTCATTTCAAACAGCCAACTGTATTTTGAATTACATCTGAGGGGTACTACAATATTCCCAATGCTTGAGATATCAAAAGATTTAAATCTGGCCCTGAGCCCAGGCCTGGAGGAGTCCCAGGAGCGAAGGATTAGCCCTCATGCTGAATGGGGTGGCATTGGTGTGTCACCCAGGACAATCCTCCAGGCTGACCCCTGGGAAGCACACACATTTTACATGGGAGTAAGTGAGAGGTTACCGGGAAGTATGTGCCTCTCACAAGGGAGGGGGGAGTTCAAGGGCCAGCAGAGAATAACCTAGGAACTGATGGAGGGAAAGTCCCGAACCAAAGTACCAGAGGGAAATAGACGAAGGCAGGAGAGGAGAAAAAGGAGACTGTCTTCCTACCCGGGTCAGGGAGTCAAAGGTCAATGGCACATGGTCCACTGCTCTTCCTCTCATACACTCAGATTAAGATGAGATCCAAAACCTTTCCAGGATCAGGCATCTGCTCTCAAGACATCTGAGAGCTACCTTTGAAGCTAGAGGCCCCATTTCCTCTGAGCCAGAAAAAGAACCCATAATCTCTCATCTATTGAGATGCTTCTAATTGGAAAGAGGAAGAAAAAGGTCAGGAAAAAGAGACCTAGGGGCTCTACAACCAAATCCAGACCAGCTCTCAGTTTCCCCCGACCTGGAATTGCAGCATCAGACTCACTATCGATAAGTCCCGTGCAGACAGAAGCAGTGGAGACGTGCTGGAGACACTTACCTGGAGACTCTGACCCTCCATCACATCCCCACAGCCTACGAGGTGGGATCCCGTGACAGGTGGAAAGCCCACGGACTGGTTGACCCCCATTTCATCACCAGTTGAACTGAACAACGACTTGGGCCGTGGCTGAACTTGATGGCTGGAGGGTGGAACACAGAACAGCCTCTTGCTGGTTTCCTCTCAGCTTCCTGTTGCTTATTCGTGTCATCTGCCACCCCTATCCACCCCTCCTTATCACCCCTCCTTCCCGCCGGTGACTCAGTCAATCTTCCACATCATCCGCTTTGCTACACTGCCTTTACTAAGGTTTAGGGGCTGCTTTTTCTGTTGTTGGTGGTGGAGAGGTAAGGGGATGGTCATGAAAAGGAAAGAGAGCCTCCACACTCTTCAAAACCCACTAACAAGTGTTTATCCGATTATGTGCCCAGCACAGCAGTAACTGCTGCATAGACTATAACACAGACCTTGTCCTCATGAAGCTAAGAATAACAATTACTACCATCAATTATTTACTCTGTGTCAGCACTGAACTAAGCTTTTTACATACATTGCGTCATTTCATTCTCTCAATAACTGTCTGAGGGTTAGACCCTGTTTTACAGATGAGGAAACTAAGGCATGAAGAGGTTGAATAACTTCCCCAAGTCACACTGCTTCTAGGTGGCAAACTCGGGTCTGTCTAATCCAGACCTGAGCTCCTAACCCTCACTGATCCTGTTCATGGGGAGACTCAGTTACATATATACAAAATCACTGACCGAAGCTATTATTATAAAGGCACTTATGCTGGGCCTTGAAATGTAAGGAAGATTTTAGAGGCAGGGGAGAAGGAAAGCATTTCTAGAAAGGACATAATGTAAGAGCAGAAAGGGGCAGAGATACGGAAGAGTATAACGTGGGCAGGAAATCAAACAGGAGCCTTCAACATGGCAGGTGTGCATGCTCTGCCTAGAAAACATTCCTGTAACTTGGCTGCTTCTTAAGTTGGGGTTAGTGCCACTGCTCTCCGTCCCTCTTCAATCACATCATCACAGCAGCATCACGCTTACTCTGTGCCAGGAACTACACCAAGTGCTTTACATACATATATTATTTAATTAAATCCTTACAACAATCCTCTGGGATACGTATTATTATCTCATCTTACAGATAAGGAAACTGATGCTTAATAAAGTTAGGTAATTTACCCAAGAACATATAGCTAGCAGAGCCAGAATTTGATCATGGGCAGTGTGGCTGTGACAGTGGAGAATGTGATCAAACTTCTTGATATCCACTCTATCCTGCCCTCCTACACAGAAGCCTTGTGATTTGGGTGGGGCTGATACCTCACTAACTGCTAGAGTTGGGCCAATCATCCCTTGGTATCCCCATCAGTATCCAGATGAAGAGTGGGCTCATGACATAAGTTGGTCCAACCAGAGTAAAGCCCAGGACTTTGGTTTGATGGTTGAGGGTGGAAAAGTTCTTTCTTGTTTTGAGCTAGAGTGATGTGCGGATATGAAGCCTTGAACTGTTGCAGCCACTCTACTACCTTGTGGATGAAGCTACTTGTGGAGGATGGCAGAGCTGAGAGAATCATAAAGAAATACAGTCATATTTGTGAAGACTTTAAGAACCTCTGGATTAGATTGTACCTGAAACCTGACCCAGTCCTAGACCTTCTAGTTACAAGAGCCAATAAATCCCCTTTTTTATTTAAACCAACTGGGTTTAGATTCTATTGCTTGAACCAAAAGCACCTAAACAGATACACTGAGTCCTGAGCCACATTTTCAGTCATTACATTATTCTGCTTTCTTTAAGATGCTCTGGGATGGATCAGAAAGTTCAGGTCAAAGCATGCCTAGGCAAGAAGAGAACTTAGAGATCATTTCTCCTCACAATCATCCTCTGCACCACCACCCCCCTCAGCCCAGTATATAAATGAGATTTACTGATGAAGACATCAAGGTTAAGAGGTTATGAGAGCTGCTCAAGAGGTTAAGTGAGCTGCTCAAGATCACCAGAACTATTATAACACATAGATCTCCTCACTGCCAACTTGCAATTGTCTGATCTAATGGAAAACCCCAGACAACCAATAATACTAATGTCATTCTATTAAACTTTGGAAGATAATAAGTGATATTCTTTCTACTACAGATTTCTTCATTTTGTTTCTCTGAAGCAGATTTTAAAATAAACCTAATTCATTTTAAAAAGAAGCTAAGCCCCTGATGCAGTCAGTGGACTATTCAGCCAAAAGGAAGCTGAACGTGTGCTGCTTAGTCTCAGACCCTGACCTTTTCCCCTTGAGGGCAAATGTACAGAGGACCCATGGCAGGTTGGGAGGGGGCACAGGACATAGCACTCACATGACAATGAAGCAGCGGCAAGTTCTCACTGCCATAAAAGCGGGTCAGACAAAATACTGTGGGAGTTCCAAGAAGCAAGAGCTCCTTTAGCTTGGAAGTGGAGGGCAGGGGAAGATGGGAAGATTGACTTTCGAGTAGAAGAATGTGTGAGCAAAGGCACAGAGGTGAGAAAGCACACTTGAGAAACCTCGAGAAGTTCGTGATGGATGCAAGGTGAGAAAGGACGATGTGACCAGATTTGGAGGGTAGCAGTCCCTCAAGTGCTAGGCTAAGGAGTTGGAATCTACTCTGGAAATGAGGTCGTGGACATGGGAGATATAAACTCTGAGAGATCCAAGTTTGAGGCCCAGCTCCTTCGCTGCCTAGCTTTCTTACCTTGGGCAAGTTACCTGATCACTCTAAGCCTGATTCCCCATCTGTACAATGGGAATGCTACCCATCCTCATAAGGTTGCTATGGAGAAAAAATGAAATAATGCATTTAAAGCACCTAGTGTAGTACCTGGCTCTTAGGAGGTATCCAGGAAATATTTGTTGATTGTGTGAAAAGTAGAAACAATAGGATCTGGCAACTAAGTGGATCTGGGGAGTTATGGGAGAGGGAAGATGAGTCAGGTTTCAAGACTGGGTGACCAGAATGATAGTAGCTTCTTATAGGAAGAGGTGTTGGTCTTAACCCGAACAGAGAACACTACGTGAGATAGGAATCAGGATGAGGGCACTTGAGAACAACCAAACAGAAGGGAAGCAGAACTCTCTGGCAGTCCTGGAAAGTTTCTGGGAAGGTCATCAACTAAATTAAATTTGGAAATAAATAAAAACTAAAGAAGCTAATTGGCCAGAGTGAGGCTAACATGAAAATGAATCTGCATTCCCTGGGCTCATACTGACTGATGCACAAGTAGAATGGGAAGATCGGAAAATCTGACTTGCAAATTTTGCCTAAGAAACATCCACACCGAGCATCCAGAGTTATTTCTAATAAATGCCGTGGAATTCGCCAAGGAAATCAGCCCAGGTGTCTCTAACCTTCTTTGGCTCACCTTATCTAAACAATTTGCGGTGGTGCCTGCCTAAAGGCCTCTCTACCCATCCAAACCTGTCCCAAGCATCAAAGCCCAGTGAAATCTCTGGTCCTCTGTGAAGCTTTCCAAGTCCTTCCAACCGTCCCTCCTCAACTCTGAGTACTGTCTGCCTCCCTCACCTGATAACCAATCACAGGCTGTCTCAGGACAGCTCTTGAATTAGTACGTATTCTAGCAGTTTTCAATCAGTAACTTGCCTCCAGTAAGTGGTCCACGTAGAATCTAGATCAGAAGTTCCTGAATCTATTATCACAATCAACTGGAAAACTTTTCAAAACTATAGGTTTTAGGGCCCCCATTGCCAGAGGTCAATTAGTTTATAAAGCTTCCCAGGCTTTCTGATCCCCAAGGTTCAAGAACTTCTGGTCCAGATGGTACCCAGGATTTTTCTTTTATTCAGACGTGTGCATGCAGCAAATATTTACTGAGTGTATATAGTATTCCAGTCCACCATTTTCATATTAATGAAATGATAATGACTGTGATACCACTTGGTTTAATCCCCATGGCCACCTAGAAGCATGTTCCTGCCAGTTACTAGGCTTAATGCAGTGCCCTGCATATAACTGGTCTCAACAGTCAGTTTATCCAATGAATGCTATTTAATTTTTTACACATGTATGCCTTATCTCTTCAGATATACTACAGAGGTAGGCTGTGTTTTACATTTCTTTGGAGTCCAAACCATGTCTCCTCATGCTTTCTCCACATAGTAGGGACCCCAAAAATGCTTCCTTTATTTGGCTTTGATTTAAACCCTCTCAATTCTTTAATCTCTGTCTTTTTGATCTAAAAATTAGGCTATATGGCATAGTGGGGGGAAAAAAGGCTTAGGTGACAGTCTGAACTCCACCTCCATCACTTAATTGGCTGTGTGACCTTGAGCAAGGTCCTTCAATTCTAAGCCTCTGATAACTTCTCCACATGATAGAAATAATAAATCACTCATGAAGCTGCTGATGAGGATTACATGAATGTATGTAAAGCCCCTGACATATAGAAGGTACTATAATCATAACAAACTACATGACCTCTCTCAGCCTAAGTTCCCTATAAGTAAAATGAGGACACTTCATAAGTGAAAATTAATAAGAAAAGTGATATTGCCTAAGGCCTGGTACATTTTAAGTGCTCATAAAATGCTAGGAATTAATGAACAATGCTATGTTTCTCTTTCCTCATACCCAGGTAAGCTTTTTTTTTTTCTGGGATTTTTGTCGTTTTCTGGATTAAACCCTTTGACAAAATGGTTTCTTTCCTCCTGGCCTTTTAGAGTCTGAGACACCCCTCCCAAAACCAGCGTCTACTAAACAGGCCCAGAAGAGCCCAGAGGGAACGGATAGGGCTTACACTGCAGCTGTCCATCTCCTGCTGGGGCCCCGTTTCCAGTGTTCAGGGACCACCCTTCTGCCAGCTGTGTGGACTTTTCATCACTGGCTATTTCAGGACAGAGTCCAAGACAAGCACTTCTCCGGGGTTTCCTTCCAGACAAAGCTCTCTGGAGTCTTAAAGCTCATTAGTTTGTGGTCTCTGGGGAAGTGAGGAACTAACATTCTGCTCTCAGAGAATGGAGACACCAAGTGCTTAAGGGGCAGGTTTGAGCAACAAGGGGACAGAGCTATAAAAGGAGCCAAGATAAGAGTTTTTCAGAGCATTAATAATTATAGTAAAAATAATCTCTCGCTTGTGGAGGTTTTACAGTTTATAAAGCACTTTCACACGTATTAGCTTATTGGCTCCACAACACTGCCTCAAGCTAAGACGGAGAGAGCAATTGTCATCTCCATTTCGAATTATGGGTTGGCCAAAAAGTTCGTTCGGATTTTTCCGTAAGATGGTAAGGAAAACCTGAACGAACTTTTTGGCCAACTCAATAGTAGCTGAAGAGAGTGAGTCCCAGAGAGGCTGTATGATCTGCCTAGGGTCACACAGCGAGAGAGCTGCAGAGCTGGAATAAAACACAGGTCTGCTGACTTCCAGTCCTGGGCACTTCTGTGGATTGTGAAGAAGGAATGGCGACCCTTCTTTCACTAGTATGAAAACCAGGAAACTGAGGGTAAGAGTGAAGCACATAGGGCCTTCCCTGGTGGCGCAGTGGTTGAGGGTCCGCCTGCCGATGCAGGAAACACGGGTTCGTGCCCCGACGACTGTGGTTATCAGATAACTGACTAAAGATTGAACCACCACGGGGCTTCCCTGGTGGCGCAGTGGTTGGGAGTCCGCCTGCCAATGCAGGGGACGTGGGTTTGTGCCCCGGTCCGGGAGGATCCCAGATGCCACGGAGCTGCTGGGCCCGTGAGCCACGGCCGCTGAGCTTGCGCGTCCAGAACCTGTGCTCCACAACTGGAGAGGCCACAACAGTGAGAGGCCTGCGTACCGCAAAAAAAAAAAAAAAAAAGAGTGAAGCACATAAAAAGTGTGGAGCACAAAGAAGGCCACGTTTCAGAGAGGTGATGCCGTGGGCTCGGGGTGGGGCTGTGGGCTCCGAACGAGAGAGCTCACCGTGGAATTCCAGGGGCGCCGGGAGTGAAAGCGCAAGATGATAGTGGAAGAATAAAGGGTGAGGGCGGATATTGGAGGTGTCTCAGTAGGAAACAGAAAAGATAAAAGACTAATGTGGATTAGTCTGGGATTGAGACGAGAAACCCCCGCAAACCGATCTGGAACGTGAACAAGTCTGCAGACCACTCAGTCCAGAATAGAAGCTTTCTCCAGTCAAACTTACCCAGTCAAGTTGACCTCTCAGAAGCAACCCAAATGGTCAACTCGACGGAAACGAGAAACTGCCCAGGAGCCAGTGGCCCTTTGGTAGTTGTAGTTTCCAGAACTCGAAATTAGCGCTTAAAACCATTTTCCGCCTCTCTGTCCGGAACTATAACTTCCGAGGTGCACCGCGCAAGATGGCACATTACGACCCGCCCCCCAGGACTACAATTCCCAGAGCTCTACAAGGCCCTTCGTCTTGGTGTGAAACCGCCCAAGGCCCGGAATGCGGCCCGATTCCTCCCCCTGGTGGTCGAGGAGCCGCCACCACGATTACAAAGCCCGAGCGGAGGGTTACTGCTTATAGTCCCGGTTAGTAACACTCCGCCTCACCGTTCCCCAAATAATTCCTGGGCGTGCCTGGAGATAAACTGGGTTTCGCTTTATTCTCAGGGCCGTGAGGAGGTCTGAGCTTGTTTGGTTTGGTTTTGTTTTGTTGGGTTTTTTTGCGGTACGCGGGCCTCTCACTGTTGTGGCCTCTCCCGTTGCGGAGCACAGGCTCCGGACGCGCAGGCTCAGAGGCCATGGCTCACGGGCCCAGCCGCTTCGTGGAATGTGGGATCTTCCCGGACTGGGGCACGAACCCGTGTTCCCTGCATCGGCAGGCGGACTCTCAACCACTGCGCCACCAGGGAAGCCCGGGAGCTTGTTTTGTGTTCTCCACGTTGTGCTTCCAGTGAGAGTATAAGACTGATCATTCAAATTAAGGGCGCATTTCCCACCAACCTTACCTGTTGACACTTGTGGTATTCCATTGTCCTTCAGAAACTCATGGCCAAGAACTGAGAGGAACCTGAGAGATTCCTCCCCGCCCCTCCGGCCCCAGCCGCTCCATCCATCCTCACTTTGCTGACACTGTGCTGATTCTTAGGGACACACTGGTGAACAAGTTACTGTCCCTAAGCTTGAAAGAATTCACAATCCAGCGGAGGATTCCGACAGATGAAGAATTACACGGTGATACGAGCTCTAATGGGGAAGACGCGAGGGGTTATAGGAGCCTTCTTGAAAGGCAGCACCTGCCCAGGCTTGGGAGAAATGGGACGGTGTCTTCAAGGTTTCTTGGAGATCTTAGAGAAATGTTAAAATTGAGAACTGAAGGAATAGGACTTAGCCAGGAGTACGGGGAGTATGAAGAATGTTTTACACTCTGGCTGGAGCACAGAGTGTGAGGGATGGGATAGAGAGGCACACCTGAGGAGGGAGGCAGGACCACATCCTCAGGAGTCTTGTAAACTTCCATAAGAACACTGGATCATCCTGGCAGCTCAAAAACTTTCAAAAGGGCTTCCCTGGTGGCGCAGTGGTTGAGAAGCCGCCTGCCGATGCAGGGGACACGGGTTCGTGCCCCGGTCCGGGAGGATCCCACATGCCGCGGGGCGGCTAGGCCCGTGAGCCACGGCTGCTGAGCCTGCGTGTCCGGAGCCTGTGCTCCGCAGCGGGAGACGCCGCAACAGTGAGAGGCCCGCGTACCAACAACAACAACAAAAAAAACTTTCAAAGGCTTCCTACTACCTGCTGAATGAGGTCCCAACTTCTCAGCTTGGCATTCAACGTCCTCCCCAAACTGCACCCCCCACCCATCACCACCACGTACTCTGAAGTGTTGCTCCTGGTGTTCTCTGACAGGAATCGCCTTTCTTCGGCCCTGCCCCGCCCCCAGGTACGGTCACCTCCTCACCAGTCTCAAGATGTAGCAGGTTCTCATTGTTACCTCCACACTCTTTTTTTTTTTTTTTTTGATGGCTATTAGGCCTCTTTATTTGGCTGAAAAACATTTGAAGCGTGATTTTTTTTGCAGTACGCGGGCCTCTCACTGCCGTGGCCTCTCCCGTTGCGGAGCACAGGCTCAGCAGCCATGGCTCACGGGCCTAGCCGCTCCGCGGCATGTGGGATCTTCTTGGACCCGGCATGAACCCGTGTCCCCTGCATCGGCAGGCGGACTCTCAACCACTGCGCCACCAGGAAAGCCCATGCTTCAGGCTTCTTTAGACCCTCCTCTCCTCTTGACACTGTCACCACCACCATCCTTCCAGGAACCAAGATAAAGTCATCAGGAGAGAGTGATGGCAGCACCGCGTGTGGTAATCAAGCCTCAAATTTAATTAAAGCTGTGGTTGGTGGTGGTGACGGCAGAACATAAAAAGCTTAGTGCAGATCAGAGATGGTTCTCTGGCTAATTAATCAGTGCTCTGCAGCTGGCCCAGAATGCCCAGGACTAACTAGAGTCCCTGGTCCTGAGAGGGACAGCTGGAGTTTGTTTCTCTGTCTCCTACTCCCAGACTAGGCCATACTGGGGATGTTTGCTGGCCAGCTAAGTTTTAAACTTCCCAGGGACAGGTATGTCACAGCCTCCTTTACCTCCTTTGTCACTGTTAGGAAGATCTACCTTGGGCCCAGACTCCTGTTGCAAAATAAAATACTTGAGTTCAATTGCATTTCATTCCAATCTAGTCTTTTTGGGGATAAACAACCCAAACGCTTTAAGTTTTCAGCAAGTGGTTGATTTTCCAGGCTTTCATTATAGATCCCATCCTCCAACAGTTCAAGGATCTCTTCTGGTTAGCTACCATCCCACTCCAGCCTTTACCTTGTTGCTAAGTTACTTTAAGTTGGCATATGAGTGACCAGCTTTGGATTTCCTTTTCTCCCCACTACATGCTGAAGTTGGTGGACGACACTTTTTAAAATCAAGCTGTAATGTGCATACAACAAAGTGTGTGAAGTGCACTAATACTAACTGTCCAGCTCAACCTTTTTAAAAAAAAAAAACATTTGATATAGCCATCACCTAGTTTGAAATGTAGAACATTTCCAATGCTCCCAAAAGTTTGTCTCATGCCTCTTCTCTGTTTTCAATCACTCACCCCCCCAGAGGGAGCCACTGTTTTTTGTTTCCTATCGTCTCATTGGGACCCAGTTGGAGTGTGGGTGAATCCTCTTTTAACATCCTGTTAGCAGGTAGAGTGTATATGCTTAATAAAGATCAAGAACAATAACTGTCCTACTCTATTATTGTTACTATAATAACAGTAATAAGCGCTAGAAATCAAGCAGTGAATAGAGAGATTAATTCCCTACCCACATGGTACTTTCATTCTATTGAGGGGAGACATAATAAGCCAGCATATAACCAAGATAATTGCATACCATTAAGTGCTCGAAAGGAAATAAGATGCTTTGATGGAGAATAAAAGGAGTGAGCTACTCTCAGTAGGATGGCCAGGGAAGGATTCTCTGAGGAGCTGGCATCTGAGCTGAGCCCAATCTACCACTGGGCTCAGCTGCCCAAATACCTCCCATTTCTTGATTATCTACTATGTATCAGACATGTCATTAGGAACTTCCAAATCCTTTACCTCATTTAGTCCTCCTGGGAAGTATGTCATATTCTTTCTATTTTTCAGACAAGAAAACAGAGGCTCAAAGAGGTAGTGGCAGACAATGTGGATACCAGCCTCATAGCCCCTCATCCCTTCTCTGAGCCCCCGGTGTGGTGGTTTCCAGCAACTGAGAGCCTCTGTACTCAAAGCCCTGCTTGTGTCTGCTTCCTTGCCCAAGGGCTGTCTTAGGCATCTATGAACCAGGAAGGGAGAGGCATGTGCTACCCACCCCAAGGGCAACCTTCGGCCATCATGGAAGTTGATGACTCCCCATCCTTAGATAGGATGATTCTGAGGTGCATTTCACACTGTCTCTTGAGTTTCCATGGGGAGTTGAACCCAGCTACTCACAGCAGCAAGCTGCACATTAATGCTCCCCTCCCTGTGTCTTCTCCATGCTATAACTTCTGCTTCTTGAAATCACCTCCCAAATAGACTACGAGCACCCAAGTCTCAGGGTCTGCTTTTGGGGGAACTCAAGCCACCCCCTTGCTCCAAGCACAGAAAAGTGCTTGGGGACATAACATTCTCGAACTGTGCCACGCCCTGTCACCCTCTATGCCTTTGCAACTGCTGTCTCCTTTGCCGAAACATGTGTTGAATCCGTTGCGGTCCATCCAATGTCCATGACACTCCATCCCTGCTACCCTCCACCTGATGAACTCCAGCTGCTAGTGTCCAGCACTGGTAAGAATCACGTTTGTGCCAAGTGCTTGGCAAACCCTATCTTGCTCAGTTGACACAGAGATTCTGAGACATCGGTAGTACCATTCCTGATTTGCGGGTCAGGAAACAGATTCACAGAAGCCAGGAGACCTACCCAAGTTTTATAGTTAAAAACTGGCAAAGCCAAGCCAAAGGGAATTCCCTGGAAGTCCAGTGGTTAGGACTCCGCACTTCCACTGCAGGGGGCACAGGTTCGATCCCTGGCTGGGGAGCTAGGATCCCACAAGCCACACAGCATGGCTGAAAAATTAATAAACAAAAATTTTAAATCCAGGACCAAAATGCAGATCTACTGCCTTAACCCTTGGCTGGAGAGAAAGGATAGGAATCGGGGTCTCTAGAGTTGTTCCAGCATTTCCCCTCTCAGAGAGGGGCCTAAATAAACAGCTGAGGGATGCCCCCCCACCCCGACCCCGAGGTAGTCACCAGAGCCTCAGCTGGGAGGAGCAGAGACTATGGAGCCCAGAGGAAGGAGGCCAGGTTGAGGGGGCTTCCTACAAACAAAGAGACTGAACATCCTGCCCACCTGCCCCTGGGAGGGGAAAACTGATGAAGGCATTACTCTTTCTATTTTCTGGCTCCTTCCATGGCTTTGGGAGTTTACTTGGCCTTGGCAATGGCCTGCTTCTCAGAATCTCTCATCAAAAATGATTCTCGGCAGCTTCCCTGGTGGCGCAGTGGTTGAGAATCCGCCTGCCGATGCAGGGAACACGGGTTCGTGCCCCGGTCCGGGAAGATCGCACATGCCGTGGAGCGGCTAGGACCGTGAGCCATGGCCACTGAGCCTGCGCATTCGGAGCCTGTGCTCTGCAACGGGAGAAGCCACAACAGTGAGAG